TTGTTTTTTTGATTAAAAGATCCTTTGTATATATCTCTAGGAGTGGTATAGGAGTGGGTCTCAAGATAGTTCAATTTTTAGTTTTTGTGGAATTTCCATAGTGATTTCCATAGATTGCCCTGGGAAAACCGGATGTCCATGTATACAAGAATGAAACTAAATTCTTATTTCTCACAATGTACTCTCAAACTACCTTAGAAAAACCTTTCAAAATGTAGTCATAGGTAAGAACCTTTTGAAAAGCGATCCAAAAGCTGAGGGAATAGTTACAATAGGATTGTTATGAAAAAAGCTCTGGACACAAAGGAAACAATGGACAGAATGAGGAGATGGCCGTGGAATATGAATAATCTTTTTCAGATACACATCTGATAGGGAACTGAAGTTTAGAATATACAAATAACAACCAACCAACCAACCAACCAAGCAAACCACCAAAGCCCAAACTGCAACACTCTAATTAATGAATTGACAAACAGAATGAATATGTACTTCTCAAAATCACCTCACCTCAGAATGAGTATCATTAAAAACAACAGCGAATTCTGGTGAGGGTGTGGCAAACGGGAACTCTTACACATTGCTTGTGGGAATGTAGCGTAGTATGCTGGGCTTTTCACCTGTTTTCACTGAAAGCACGCGGTGGGTATGATGTTCGTAACTCCTGAGGTCCTATAGCTGCTCTCACTGGACTGGCTTGGCATGCTACTTCGGCACGCACGAGGAAGTCCGAGTTACTCACCTTGAGGATGAAAGGCTGCACTGAGGGGATTCCAGTCATCAGACAGCACTAGCTGCCAGCTAGGTGACACATTCAGTCAAGCCTCCAGAGCATCAGCAACTTGGTGACTCAGACAAGGCTAACCCAAATTACTGATCTGCAAATTTAGAGCATATACAATGGCTTGATGCTTTGGTGGTGGCTTGGTATGCAATAATTATGTTTGTGAATGTGTCTTAGTCTCTAACACTGCGGATAAGAAAGAGTAACTCTAAACCATAAAACAGAATTTGGGCTACTCAATAGGATGTACTTTTAGACTTTTAAGATGGAATCCCAGTTTGGGCCAGTGGGATTCTGTCTCAAAAAAAAAAAAAAAAAAAAATAGTGCTGTAATAATTTATTAGCCAGACTAGCCATTGCTGTAACAAACAGTAGGGGGACCATGGCCATGTTTTCAGGGGCCCCAGATCACACATCTTGGCTTTGCTGGCTCTGGAACCAAAGTGAGGCAGAACATCACAGCAGCAAAATCACATGGCAGAACTGTCTCTCTCATGGTCTGCAGGAAAGACAGACAAAATGACTTGAGACCAGATAGAACCTTCACCTCCACAACTCCAGTGATCTTCCTCCAGAGAGGCCTTGAATCCTAAAGTTCTCACACCTCCCAAGACAGTGTCCACCATTTGGGAAAAAGTGTTCCACTAGAACCTGTGGGGTACAGGTCACACTCCTACCTGGGATGGTTTGTGAAGGCAGCCCATGAAGGTAACGTGATAATTCTAGGCATCCAAAATTTCTTTACGTTCTGGAGCACCGTGAAATGTCAATTAAGTGCTTGTGACTTAACGACTCCATTTTGATTTCATGTAGGTACTACTAGTATTTATTTATTTATTTTGAGATGGGGTCTCATGTAGCTCTGGCTGGCATCAACTTGCTATGTAGATAAGAATGGCCTCATACTCCTACCTTTGCCTCCTGGCATCACTATGCCTACTGATTATGTAGTGTCTTGACATATTGTACCTTTCACAGCTGGCGGGATCTATTGGTTTATCCTTCACATACTATGTGATCGATCCCAAACAGTTATGATATAAAGTGTTGATTCGGTGTAAGTGGCTAAATTCATGAGTTCCCATGTCAAATTGTTTCAGATGTTGGCTCAACTGCCTGCCAGCTGTAATTTTTGCATTCACTACAGAATGGAAGAGGAGGGAAACATCACTGGATTGCTGATGGGATGGATTAAAAGGGTTAGTACTTGAAAACATCTTAAGGGCTAAATGCATCTTAGATATTAGACCGTCACTATAGTAAGGGACTACCAAGGTCTGGAAAGCAGCTATTACTGGTCACTTAGTATTTTTAGGTCTGTTTTCTCAGGTATAAAGTAAGGTTTACTAGGTAATTCCAATGGTTTATTTTCATCATTAAAATCCATGGCCCAGTGTTTAATATGTTTCTCACAAAGTATGTATTTTTCAGATTTTTAAAAAAGTTTACTCTTAGCAGTTCTAAGGACCTTCTATTAATGACCAGCTATTTGTAACACTGCACTTCCAATTGATATTTATTAAAAGTTCTAAACCATTTATATGTGTATGAGTGTTTTGCTTGCATGTAAGTATGGCATCACATGTACCTGGTGCCTCTGCAGTCATAGGAAGAGGGTTGATCCTCTGGAACTGGAATTATAGTTAGGAGTCACCGTGTGGATGCTGGGAACTGAACCTAGGTCCTCTGTAAGAGCAGCCAGTGCTCTTTACTACTGAGCCATCTCTCCAGTCTCCATAAAACAAGCTTTAAAAATAACACCTGGCAAGCAAACATTTAAATTTCCATACATAATACTTTCCTGGCTTATTAAAATTCAGCATTTATTTTTATACACAAGATAAGTATACTTATTGCATAAAATTAAGAAAAAATATCATTTGAAACAAAAATACTTTACTTCAAATTTTATTACTCAGCTATCTTCAATGCTGATAGTCTTGTCTTCCAGTATTTTCACTGTAGTTTTGAGTGGTGTGTCTATTTTTGTATTATATTTTTGTGCTTTACTTTTTATACCACTTTACATAATTAGAGCCATTTAAAAGAGTGGAATTTTAACTATTTACAGGCAACAGGAAAATGAATTATAGCTTCCCTATTGACTATTAACTCTTATTAAAGTCTTTCATGCTTCATTCAGACAAAAGCATCTGTAATTATATCATCCATTACATATTGGTTTAAGCATGTTCCACACAGCCAATAGCACAAGATACAATTTTTGTGCACCTATGGATATACGGTCCATGTTGTATGTCTTCAGTTGCTCTTGGGTCTTACTGAACCAGGACCTCATCCATGCATTTGCTTGTGTCAGCCTGCTGGCAAGCCCAGGGAATCTTCTGTATCGGTCTCCTTAGCGCGGGGATTGCAGGTGCACTGCTACCACGGACTTGGTTCTTCTTTTTCTCATACTTTTCTATTCTTTGTGAACTTCACATCATGCACCCCAATCCCACTCATTTCCCAGTCTTTCTACATCTGCCCTCCACTCTTGTATTTTGTCTAGTATGGGTTCTGGGATCAAACTCAGGTTTTTGTGCTTGCTTGCAAGCACTTTACCGACAATGTATCATCATCCCAACTCCCAAATATGATTTTTAGTGGCTGCATAAGACCATCACATAGAAGTAGCAATTCTTGACAACGGGACAGGAAACAGGACCATAAAATATACTATGAAGGCGCAGATCACTTTTCTATGCCATTTTGGACAGGATCTATGCGATCATTCCATTGAACAGCCCCTACTGTTTACAAACTCCGTTTACAAACGTTGGGATTTTCAAAATGGATTTTGGTGATTTTCTTCACAAACAGAGCCGAGTGTGATGGCCAGCCTGTAACCCCAGCTTTGAGAAGGAAAGTGCCCAGGCGAAGGTCCACCTGGACTACTCAGCGAGTTCCAGGCCAGCCTGTGCTACTTAGCAAGACCATCTGAAAAAGCAAAATACCCAACACATAGAGCCTACCTTCCTGAACTTTACTGGAAGTTAGATGAGTTTTTTCATTAACGTTAAGATAAATATGGGCAAATGGGCACTCTAAAATATCCTGACCAATAGCTGTCACAAACTTGAAGTTAGCAAGGGCAAGGATTCCATTCTGAGTTGGGAAGAAGGTGGGGGCTGCAGCTGCTCTCCATGAGAAGCAGCCAGAGGCTTGCAGATTTGACAGAAGATGGTCGTCTTCGATCTTCGGGGATTTTCCAAGCAGGATGCTGGGGCCAAAGAAGGAAAAGTGCGCGCTACCCATGTGACCCAACTTCACTTTTAGGTTTGCACCATCAGAACGCAGCTGGAGCACCAATCCTCCTCGGAGCCTCTTGTCTCCCAAGTTCCAGAAGGCACACGAACATGCCTGCTGGCTAGCCAACACCTGCCAGCCTTTTCAGATCCAGTCTACTTGGGGCTCACACTCCCTCCTTTTGTTTTTTTTTTCTCCGTCGTCTTCGCAACCCAACCCGCCAGGTTCGGGTCGGGCCGAAGCGCAGCAGCTTGAGCAACAGTTTGGTGCCCGAGCGAGCTGGCGGCGCGTGCCCGGGTGGGGGGACGTGCCTGCAGCTGCTCTCACACCTCGGGACGCACGCATCCTCGGGCCGGGGCTCCGAAGCCGGCGGAGGAGCGCGGGGAGCACGCAGGGGCGCGCGCCGGCGAGGCCCTCCGCCCAGCCCGCCGCCCTCGCCGCCGCCGGGCCCCGCAGTCGCCCCCCGAGGCCGGCCCCGCGCGTCGCCTCCCCACCGGGGCTGCCCGCCCGGCGCATGCGCGCCGCGCCGCCGGGCGTGCCGGCCACCCTCCCCCCACTCACTCGGTGAGCTTGTCACTTCCTGCCCTCGCCCCATCTCCGTCCGGGGTCAGTCAGTCGCTCCCTGTCGCAGCCGGAGACTTGTCTGCTTCCCCCTTCCTAGCCCTCTCCACGGCGCTCGCTCGCTCGCTCGCTCGCTCGGGCTGTCCGGGGGAAGGGGGCGGCCGAGAGAGAAAGGGACTGACTTCCATAAAGTTGCCCGAAGCATCTGCTACCCGAACGAACGGCCCCAGGTGGGGGACCCGCGCAGCTCCCCGCCCCTCTCCAAAGCCCGGGGGACCGTTGCAGGTGGAGCGGCTGGCGCCGAGGGGAGCCGGGCTCGCTCGGCGCGGCCGTTGCCCTGGAGAGGGGCGCCTCCGTCCTGCCCGCTCCGGTTCCAGCTCCTCGGGCTGGCTGCTACGCCTGGCGGTTCCCCCTCCCGCCCTGTCAACCGCCTGCGCCCGCGCGCCGCCCGCCAGCTCGCCGGCCCGGAGCGCCGAGGGCCGCCCTGAGCCATCACCGCGGCCCGAGGACGTGGTGAGCTGTGGCGCTTCCGCGTCCGCGCCGCCCGCCGGCCGGGGGGACTCTCCGGGAGCGCGCCGGGGCCTCAGCCCGCTCGGCTCCGCGCGGGGCGCCCGCCCGGGCTGCGCCAGGTGGGGGGCCTCGGCCGCGTCGTGCGCCCGGCTGCTGCCGCGGCCCGCCCGCCTCCCCGCTCGTCCCCGGGAGTTGAGTAAGTTGGGCGCACTTGGCGGCGCGTCCCCGACCCTGCTCTCTCCAGGGAGGACCCCCCGGCGCACGTGCGCGGCGGGAGGGCGCGGGCTGCTGGTCGGCCGCGCGGGGCCCCCGTCGCGCCCTGCGCCCCCCGCTCCCCGCGCGCGCCGCTTCGGCCGCCCCGCGGACGGCGAGGCCGCAGCCGCCTGCGCAGCCCGCCAGGCCTCGGCCGTGCGCTGCGCTGAGCTGCGCTGCGCTGCGCGCCCGGACGCTGCGTTTCCGGGTAGGGTGATGAACCTGTGCCGGGAACTGGGGGCTGGAGGCCCGGCGGGCGGGCGGGCGGGCTGGCGGGCGGGCGGGCGAGAGAGCCGGCGGGCGGGCGGGCGGGCGTCGGTTTCTTTGCCGAGCGGAAGGTGCGGGCCTTGGGGTGGGCGAGCGGAGAGCGAGCGCACGGAGCGATGGACTGTGGAGGTTGCAGCCACAGCCTCCCCGGCAAGTTCAGGGACAGTGACAGGTTTGTGCTTCTGTCCACAGCCAAGCCTCAATGAAGAGCTTCTCGCCGTGAAAAGAAAATAGGTCGCACCCATTAAAAATGCCTTTGAGGGACAAGTACTGTCAAACTGACCACCACCATCACGGATGCTGCGAACCAGGTAAGTCCGTTCCTTGCCCAGGGTCTCTGCTCTCCTCCATCGGAACCACTCTGCCTTCACGGCTGTCTGAGAAGTCTTCCCTACCTAACAGGGTGCCTGTTTGCACCGCGTCGTTCTAAAAGCCTGGTGGACACAGCAGACTCTGTCTTGCTTGATCCCCTAGAGAAAGTGCTGCAAGTGTCACCGTCAATCATTTCCACAAGAGCAGTCAGCTTCTTTTCCTTTCTCGAGGCTTTCCGTTAGTGGTTTACTCCACGCTCTGAATGTTTAAAATGGAAGAAAAAGGCAAAGATAAAGAGGTGGTGGATGTGGAATACTAGCATTCATCTTCATGAAGACTGCTTATCCCTAAGTTTCCCGAGCAGTATTTCTTTAAACCATAGGATAATGCTTATCCCCAAATCATCCCCCCCCCCACCCAAGCCTCAGAAGTTTAGTTTGGGTCTAGAAGGTTGGTTGCGCTTGTAGGGAAAAATCGGGTTTTTTAAATTTAAAAATAATTTAAATGTTTTGGGTAGAATTTATTGTATTGCAGATTACTTAGAATACTTAAATGTATCTAAGGTGTTTAAGTTGAAGCGATTCCGTTACATTTATGATGTTAAAAACTTTTTGACTTTCATGAAAAATATTAGTGAATTCTGGTTTCATAGACGTTGTACTTGTAAGCTATTGATGGTTCTTACAACTTTGGCCTTAAAAGGGAATCTTGGAAAACGTACTGGCACTACAAATAAAGGCTGTTGTAGTATAGTTCAAAGACAAGTGTTTATCACTTTAAAAGTTACCAGGGGTGGTATTTTTTTTTCTACTTTGGCTTGCTTTTAATTGAAATATTTTAATTACACTCATGTATTTAGATTTTGATCATAACAGCTTATTTTAAATAATTTTCTTGAGACGGGGAAAATGGGAAGAAACGTCTTTTGAGAAAAGGTTGCTGTACATGACAATAACCATTTGGCTCCAGCCTCATGCCTGTTGTATTTTGTTGGATCAGTAGTAACCTAATAAAACAGGTGCCTGTCGGATGGGACCTCGTTTTTATTCAGCTCCAGACCCATCTACCTGCAGCGCTTATCCGTGCTGCACGTCTTGTGTGTCTGAGGTGAAGGTGTATTGCTTACACATCATGGAGTTTAATAGCGTTTACTAGTTTGCTCATTCATTTCTATAACAAATCTTTATTGAGCATCTCTTAGGTGCCAGGTGTTACCCAAGGCAATAGGATATAAATGGTGAAACTTGAGTGGGAAGAGATAGATTGAAACAAATAGGTATTTTGAACATGATTTAAGGTACATGTTGGTAATTAAGTATTTAAAAGACTTCAATGCCTTTAAAAATGCTTTCTGGAATTTAATTTCTTAGTCTGGATTGAATTTTTTCCCCATTTACAAATCAGTAAATATCATTAATTAAAAAAATTAAAAGTTACTGCTTATTAATATTTGCTTCCTTAGGTAGAACTAAATACTTTGGAATGTTTATTTCAATGGACAGCTAGACATTTGCTGACTTTTACGTTAGTTTATTGTCATTGTTATTTCAGGGAAGGTGTGTACTGAGTGAGGACATTTCCAGGTCTGAGAAAGGGTGCTGTGATAGAGATTAAGATGTCCTCAGATGGCCGGATGGGGATGTGATGTTGGAGAAATTCTTTAATGGGCTTTCACGAGTGGTCTGTCTTCATTTCGATTACCAACAGAGGGTGAGACCTCAGACGAGAACGTTCCTGAAGAGACCATTATGTTTTGATGAAATGGGTTGGTTTATTGTGAGAGGTGGCATTAGAAGTTTGCCAGTATATGTACATTAACAAATTTTTTTAGATACAAGTTTTCAGAAGTTAAAAGTACAATGGTACAACGATTCTGATGTAACCATCTTGCAGTTAATCATTTATCAGTATGTGAAAATCTCTTTTCTGTTATCTTTTCACCTCCCCCAACAATTAATTCCATTTTTTGCTCTCCAACTATTCCCCCAACTTATATTTGTGGTAAGCAATTCCTAGATATCATAATTAGAAAGATCTTTAAGGAACTTTTTTTTTTTTTTTTTTTTTTTAAAAGACAGGTGAGAACTACACAAATATATATGGAAGAGTGTAGAATAAAATGTTCTGAGGGCTTGGGTGCTTTTTGTTGGGAGAGATAATTTTGTTTTAAATGTTTGTAAACTGGATCAGTCTGATCTTGGAACAGATGACAGGATATGCAAGAATACATTAGAAAATAACATGTTCATACACACGCACGCACACACGCACACAATTTGCAAATACATTTCAAATGATAAAGTATATTGTAACAGTGGGAGCAGAGCTGCACAGATATGTCTGCTAAGTAAATGTGTCCATGCAAAGGCAAGGCATCAGGCTTATTTAGAATATTGTCTCAGGGTGTGTCTGTGCTATGGTGGTAGTGCTCTGAGTGAGGGTGGTCACTAAGAACGTTGCTCTAGCTCTCAGTTGGAAGCGGTATGTTACAGGGAGTTTCCTGGAGTATGCACATGGATGAGGGACCCTGACAAAGTGTGCTTCTCCCCAGAGCACTCTTTCTATTTTGGTTCTTTTTTTATTTTTTCTGTTCTCTGATTCTCCGCTTCTTGCCCCTTATAACCAGACCTTTGTTCTCTACAGTTGGTAGATTTCTACTCTCTTTGTAGCTAATTATGCTTTATGCTATCATATACAAGTATTGGGAAGAGCACTAACAGGCTGCTAATGAACCTCTGATGTTTCTCTTAAAGGTTGACTTGACTTACATTTGTGAAAAGATTGTTTTCTGTGCAAGGAAAGCAGTTGTTTGTACATGATATTGCTGACACCACTGGATTGTTTACTGAGCATTTGCTATATGCCAGGCTGCCTTTTGATTAGTTTTCATCCTGTCTTATTAATAATTGCGAAGTTCCTTTTTTTTTTTTTTTTTTTTTTTTTTTTAGTATTTTTGTTAGCTCCGTGTTAGAGAAGAGGAAAAGAGATTTGAACATTTAGTTGTCTTAGTTATACCTCAGGAAACAGCCACACAATTGACACGCAGGAGTGTGCATCTGGAGTCTTAAATTCTTTATTTTGGCAGTTATTGTCAGTGTATTCAAACTGAGTTAGTTGTCTGTGTATATTCTTTTTATGTACCTAAAGTGTTTCTTAAGGTTTTATGTGATGAAATGATGTGGTCCTGAGATGAGGCTCTTATTTGAGTATGAATTATGAAGGAGAGGCTGAGGCTCTGTGTGTATGCACAGATCTTTAGCCTTAGCTACTCTGTATCAAAAATGGAATTGCTCTCCAGATCAGATGCGAAGCAGTCTTAGCATGTTCAATTGAAGAGAACTTGCTGCACCAACTCCCATTCTGAGAGAATTGTCCCTGTGTTAGAGTGACATTAGATGGGAAGGACATTATGTTCTTGAAAAAAAAAATTAAATGGCCAGTTTTTCTTTACTACAACCTTGCTGTCTATTTGACAACTGATAGAAACACAGTTGTCCTTTTCTGCTACCTTGTGTCACATGATATAATTTTTCCACTTATAGAGAATTTTGCAAAAGGGAGGGGACAGTAATGACTACTAGATTTGAAAGTGATATTTTTTTTAAGATGGAAAAGGTATTTTTACTTTACTTCTAAAATGCCTAACTTGTATGCTCTGAAGTAATAGACATGGGAGGCAGAAAGTGAACAGCATCCTATAACCCACACTGACAGAACCTTTGTTAAATTCTGTTGGCACCCTTCCAAGATAACTTTCTCTTATCTATGCACATACCCGTATCAACTAAATTTACGTATGTATTTCTGTATCTGCATAAATATGCATTAATGTAAATAGGTCACAGTCTATATACCCTGTTTTTATTATTTACAGTAATGACATCCTTCATTGTCAGTAGTGGAGCTGGCTGGTGCTTTTCAGCTGTTACCTGATTATTTTGTAGCTTTTAGTTTGGTTCCTATAAAAAAGACTTTGAAATGGGAAGTTTCTCTCAGTTGAATACCGGGCTGTGCAGTACTTCAATGAAAGTTGTGTATGCCTGGACTTGTACACTTGTCTATTTCTCTCACAGGCAGTTAGTTGGGTTTGAGTTTTGTTCTCATGATTGTCCAGGGTGCTTGGTCAGGTGATTTTTAAGGCTTTTGGAAGAGTTTACTGGGTATGGCTAAGCCACCATAGGCTTAAGGGTTTTTGTTAAATGTCGTTCTTTAAGGGGAATAAAAAGGCAAACCATCTATACTGAATCATGCCAAAGCAGTAAGCATTTGGTGTTAGACTTAATAACTAACCGTGATTGAGGTTGTCCCTCCATTGTTTCATTTGTCTTATGAAGATGATGGTGAATTTTACATATATGAATATATGGAGGTATTCGCATTGTTAACATAATTTTGCCAAACTATTGTTTGATTGAATAGAAAGTGATTTAAGTAACCCTTTTTTTTTGTGGGTTGGGGTGTGTGTTTGTTTCTCATGTAGTTTATACCCTGGAGCCCGGAGATCCTCCTCTGTTACAGCAACCACTACAGACATCCAAATCTGGTATTCAGCAAATAATTGAGTGCTTTCGATCAGGTATGAACATTTTAGTTATATTTTTTAGAACCACACAGTAATTACAAACTGTCTAGAAGGTATATATATATTGGTTTTCTTTATAGTATACTTTGATTTGTCATATTTTTAAGATAAATGAATAAACATTGACCTTACTCTTTTTCAGTAATACCTACTAAATATTAATTAACCATTTTTACTGTAGCTTAGAGGAATCTGGTATAGTTTAAGATAAAATGCTGTTACTTCTTAAGGCAGTCAGTTATTCTGGTTATTTAAACTTGGGTGTAAATTATATTAAAATATGTGAGATATGATCCTAGATTAATTTTTTATCATTTCTGTGTTGGGGACTCACCTCCTGCCAGACTCTGGAGTTTTCAATATCTTCACTAGAGCACAGGATGAAAAAAAAAGACATGGTCTAGCCCTGGTATCTTTAGAGACATTTATTAAGCTTTTGTTTCTTTTTTTAAATTTTATTTTACTTGTATGAATGTTTTGACTGCCTGTATGTTTGTGTGCTATGTGCATTCCTGGTGCCCACAGAAGCTAAAAGAGGGTTTTGGATTCCTAGGAGTGTAGTTATAAAAAGGTGCCACGTGGGTGCTTGAGAATTGAACCTGGATTCTCTGGAAGAGCAGCCTAAGTGCTCTATGCCTCTGAGCCACCTGTCCAAGCCCAGGCTTCTGTCTCTGGTAGATTATTATAGGCATTGGCTGTGTTATACTTGAGCAGTTACAGTTTAGTGCTTTAAAGTTGTTACTCCTTACATATAAGCAGTTGAGAAATGAGAGCTCCTGTGTTATCAGTGAGATCATAGATTGCCGATTCTTAAAATTCCCTTATGTATTTTTCATATATTTATGTTGTGACATCACTATCAGTCAAACATAAATAAGCAGATAAATACAATGAATTGACACCTAACTTGTGGACAGTAGGATCTCATCATTATTTAAAAAAGAAGGTACTAAGTTTTTTGAAGTCCTTGTTCTAAAATAGTACAGGGGAGGGGCTGGAGAAATGGTTCCGTAGCTAAGAGTGCTTATTATTCTTGCAGAACACCCAAGTTCAGTTTTCTGAATCTACATAGCAGCTTACAGCTGCCTGTAACTGGAGTTCCAGGGCACCCAACACCCTCTTCTCATGTCCACAGGTGAAGAATACATGCATGTGACATGTATGTATGTGAACACACAATCATACTCAGGCACACACAAATAGACTACATTAATAAATTGTAGAAGGCAAAATAAACATTTGCTTTACTTTATAATTCAAAGTAGGTTATCCTTAGATTAATTTTTTTTCTCTGATCTGTAAGAACTTGTAGACTTAGACATGGCTTTTATGTTGGTTGTCTTTACAAAGTGTTACAATGCCTGTCATATGCCCCCCCCCTTTTTTTTTAATGCTAGATGTCTACCTGACTTTGAATATTTGTTTCTTTTACTTTTGATACCCATTCTTGACTAACAGGATAATCAGTAAGTCAAAGTCACCTATGATGAATACAAACTTTCATTTGTTAGGAGTGGTTTATATTTCTTGCTTAAGAGAATAATAGTTCATTTCTGTTTGTTTTAGCAACTTTAAAACAGATAAATATTTTTTTGTTCTTTGTTATGAAAATGAGAATAATAGTTTTTCCCCTTTAGTAGTATAGCTTGATGTCTTTTAAAAAAATTCATAATTTAGTGCTAAGGTTATTTCTTACTACATTAGTTTATTACAGTATTACTTCATTAAGTGAGACTGTTACTTCATAAGGGGTTTATTAAAATGCTTTTGAGAGGTTATATTGTTATGGTGGGGAACATTGAGGTATGCATTGCACTCAAGCAGTAGTTGAGAGCTATATCCTGGTTGAGAGAGAGAGGAAAAAGGAGAGGGAGAGGGAAGAAGGGAGAGAGAGAGAGAGAGAGAGAGACAGAGAGAGAGAGAGAGAGGTGGGGGAGAGGGATGGGCTTTTGAAACCTCAAAGTCTACCCCCATTGACAAAAGTTTTTCAACAAGATTACACCTCTTAATTCTTCTAATTCTTTCAGATAGTACCATTCCTGCTGACTAGGTATCCAAGTATATGAGCCTGTAGGGGCTGTTCTCATTCAAACCATTACAGCAGGAAAAGATTTAAAGATGAAATTAGTGTTTTCTTACTCCACTGTAGTCATTGATTCTCTGTGTTTGCAGGTTCTTTACTATGTAAGCTAAAGGATGGGGGTGGTGAGATGGGTAATCTGAATTGGTGTCATTCCATAGCTGTTTGTTTATCTTTTGAAATGTGTTTGTTTCAGCTAGGGATTTTATTGCCATGATAAAACACCATGACCAAAAGCACCTTGGTCAGGAAAGTGTTGATTTCATCTTATACTTTCACATTGAAAGAAGTCAGGGTGGGACTGGGGACAGGAGCTGATGCAGAGGACGTGGAGGAGTGCTGCTTATGGCTTGCTTCCCATGGCTTACTCAGCTTTCTTTGTTATAATACGAAGGACCACCTGCACAAGGATGGCCACCCACAATAGTCTGAGACTTCTTCACATCAGTCCTCAAAGGACCACCTGCACAAGGATGGCCACCCACAATAGTCTGAGACTTCTTCACATCAGTCCTCAGTTAGGGAAATGCACACAGATAGGCCTAAAGACCAGTCTAGTGGGGGCATTTTTTTTTTTTTTTCAGTTGAGGTTCTCTTTTCCCAAATGACTCTAACTTGATGTAAAATTGTTATAAAACTAGCAAGAAGTGTTTCTTTAAAAAAAAAAAAAAATTCCCCAACTCATTAGCCTTGGGTTATTTTTTAATATAGAAAATTTCTGAAAATACTATAATTTAAATTAGAGGTAATTTAGAAATGATCAGAGTTGTATAGAGAAATTAACTTTGGATTAAAAGTTAATTCATTATTGTGACCCATAAAACAGACATTTCAAGACAATAATATCATGTATATATAGCCAATCTGAAGTCTCCTGAAGTAGCTCTCTGTAGTACAAAGGTGTTTCAGGCTAAGGTTAAACTTAGGAGAATGGACCATGTGACTCAGGGTAATGTCCATTCTAACCTGAGATTCGGTTCCTCCCTGACCCAGTCTTCTATAAGTACACCCTCTGTGACTCATCTCTTCCCAGCTCTTCCACTGATTCTAGGTCACACACTTTGCATTGAAAGTCCTATCCTGGTAGTGCTATGTATCTGATAGGTACTTGACAGTAAGTACAACTGTGAAGTCCATGGGGCTGCTTAGTAAATGATAGAGGCTAAGTCAGGTTGGATAGTGGTGCCGTGAGAGTTGTCTTCTTCTTCAAACTCAGATACTGTTCTTCACCTGCTGCGCCATCTTTGAGTTTCCTACTTTCTTCCTCCTACACTGGGCTCTCCGTGAGCAGATACTAATTCCTACCCAAGCTAGAAGAAACTCATGAAGCCTCTGCGGCTGGAGAAGAAGTTGATTCATTTCACCAGCTCGTGTGTGCTTCATTGAAGGCTGCTGGGCAGTTTTAACCCATTCTTGTTGTCTTAGATTTTAGCGTTTATGTTTGCCTTCACTTTTTTTTGGCTTTAAATTAAATTTTCTTTCTGACCTTGGCTACTTTATTTATTTGTAAACAATTTAAGTAGATTATTTTTTGGGAGGGTGAGAAATGATATTGTGGATAAGACAGTTTATAGGCCCAAAAGTAAGCTCCCCCCACCCCTTTGCACAAGTGAGTGCTTCTGCATGGTTGCTTCCTCTTCCGTTTATCCATGCATAAACACTTTTTGGTTTCCTCCCAGTAGAAATGGTAGCAGACATGCATTCTTGTGTAGCTTTGCTTTGTGGATAGATTTGGTTGTTGAAATTGCTGTAGAGTTAGGTGTCGCTGTAGATTTCCTACATTGAACCATGATGGATGACTTGAAACCTGCTATTCCAAATACCAGCTTCTGGTACTACCTCCTCCATGCCCACTGCCTGAGTAAATCCTTGTAGGATCACACCTGCAATGCGATGTTCTCAGGCTTCCCTCCTTTCCTTAACACGTTTAGTTGGTCTTCCTCTCTCCCTGCCTTCCAAACAAAATTGTGAAGAAAAAACACACAATACATTTTGATATTTATTGAACATCTTTTAGGCATTTATTACATTGATTTAGTTGAGATTAATATTCTTTGTTAGTCTCTTAGCCATCTTACAGAAGCAAAGAAGGTATAGAAACAGAAAAATGAGGGAAGGTGTCCAGCATTCAAATCAAGTTTTTAATATGAAATTAGCATGTTAAAATGTAAATATGTTAAATTATAAAAATAATATGTAAAATTATAAAGAAAAGTTCTGTACATATAGAATATACTATACCACTATATGTAAGGAACTTCATCCTCCCCTCCCCAGGAAAGAGTAAGTTGTTAATTTGTAGTATGCTGGTGAAAAATGAGTATTTTGTGTACTGGTTTGTCTTGTGGTTGTCTTTCTAGATTTTATCATCTTGAAGTTAGTTTTTTCTGATTGAAGTAACTTTAATTGAAGTTTTTGTAAGCCATAACTGAATTCTGATGCTGTTTATTTTAAATTCTAGATGAGCTTAGCATGGAAGTATGATCTGTGAGAGATCTATAACAGAGAGTATTCTTTGATGGGATCTTTCTTTAATTTCTCTCTCTCTCTCTCTCTCTCTGTGTGTGTGTGTGTGTGTGTGTGTGTGTGTGTGTGTGTGTGTGTGTATACTTGTGTACCTGCACACATCAGTTTGAGGCCAGAAGAGGGCATCAGATCCCCTGGAGTTGGAGTTATAGGCAGCTGTGAGCCATCTGACATGGATTCTGGGAACTGAAAGCAGTCATTTGGAAGAGCAGCCAGTGTTCTCTACCCTGAAACTGTCTCGTTAGCCTCTGATGGAATTTTTCTGATTGTTAGCAATTATTGGAAATTTAAATGGGAATGAATATCTCTTGGGTTTATTATTATTAGCATGCATCTTCCAAGCATGGGTTCTAGGATCATGTTTCTGAGAAAGCAGGTAGCTATACTAGTCTGAAGTTCTTAGTGTCACAAAATTACATTCTTCACTTACATAGTTCCAGTGAATTGAATAATATTTGTATGGGGTATTTAATGGATGCTCTGTTAAGTGTTAATTAGGGTAAAGGGAAAGATTTATTAAGTAATTTTACCCTACTTATAAATTTATTATTATGTGGTATGTGCCAAAATTCCATTATCAAAACTCTTACCCTTTGGTGGAGAACATGGTTAGCAAGGATTCTAAGGCAGTTCTTTTAAAAAGGAATTAATTTGGAGAAAGTCAGCATGGTTCTCTTTCTCAGGACTTAGAGTGTAGACAGATTTTATGACCGCCTGTGTCTCGGGTGAGGAGTTTTAGTGTGACAGAGGTGGTGTCTATTGTGATAAAGCGATCTGAAAGATGGCAGCTGATTTTGAACAAATCCATTCTTTTCTGATGGGAAAAATATGACATCTTAAACAAAGTGATCTGAAAGATGGCAGCTGATTTTAAACAAATCCATTCTTTTCTGATGGGAAAAATATGACATCTTAAATGGTGGCTGAAATTAAAGGAAATCCTTTAATATCTGTTTATGCAACAAGACATATCTTACTTTTCTCATTTGCAGAATGTTCTGTATATGGAATTACAAGTCAATTACACGTAGATTAAAAGTAGTGATACTTGTAAATATGCAGAAAGTTGTTAATAAAAGTGATTCAGGTATTGTTCTGAGGACAGGAATACAGTGGTGAGCATCAAAGATAATTTTTCTCTTAGGTATCATAGCATAATAGCTACATAGAAGAGTAACTAGGTACAGGGTAGCGGGGGAAACTGGGTAGATGATAGTGGGCACAGGCAGTAGAGTGTTCTAGAAGACAGAGAAGGCACGCTGGTAGAAGTGACCTCTTACTGTGTCAGACGAGGGAAGGGGATGTTACTGTAAGAGTAACATGGGTGATGGCATACAAAGGACAGAGAAGCAAGAGAACACTTGTATTTCTGATCCAAAAGAAATTGGTGTGCCTGGGTCAAAAGTAACTGGCGCGCGCGTGTGTGTGTGTGTGTGTGTGTGTGTGTATGTGTGTGTGTATGTGTGCGCATTTTGAGGAAAATATTTATAACTGATAGGTTAGAGGAGACATGTTTTCACTACCTAGTGGGAATAAGAGATATGCTTGCTATTTAATGTAAGTATAACTAGGATTCATTAAGAAATTGATGTCTTTCTTTTTCTATGATTCAGCAATCCTGGTGAGCAAAGTGGTATCTAATTTAAGGATATAGTCTTTTACTTTTATACTTCATGTTTTTTATAAATTATAGTCATATTTATATAGGGTTGGTAATGCTTTAAATATGCTATTTGTTTATTTAAATTTAAAGTTGAATTAAAATTATTTTTTTTTACTATTTTTCATTATGCCTGTATGTGTGTGGAGGTAATACATTTGCGTGTAGGTACCTGCATGAGCCAGAGATGTTTGATCCTTCTGGGACTGGAGTTGTAGGCAGTTGTGAGCTGGAAGATGAGGGTCCTAAGACCCAAGCTGGGTTGTTTGCAAGAGCACAACATTTTTTTAGCCACTAAGCTAGCTTTCTAACTCCATTTCATTGCATTTTTTTAGTTAAATAGATAGCTTTGTCTTTCTTCAATCATCTTTTCCTTCAATGTTTCACTATTTTAAAAAAGATTTACTCATTTTTATTTTATGTGTGCAAGTGTTTTGTTTTCATGCATGTTTGTACACCATGTGCATGCCTGGTACCCACAGAAGCCGAAGAGGTTGTTGGATCCTCTGGAACTGGATTTATGGATGGTTGTGAGCCTCCACATGAGTGGTGGGAACCGAACCCAGGTCTTCTGCAGTAGGAGTCTTAACTGCAGAGCTACCTCTCGGGCCCCAGAAGCATAGCTCAGACTGGTCTTGCTCATGATCCTCTTTCCCCTTCCTCTTCAGTGTATCCTGCTGCTAGTGTATTCACCATTATAGTCTCTGTTGACTATTTTTAAAGGCAAGATTCAATCTCTATTTTGGGTATAGTAGATCTTTTAATTTAGAATCAGTATATAAAATTTTCGATTTTTTTTTCTTCCCACTATTCCTATATTCAGCTACATTTTGTGAAACTAAATGTGAATCTGTTATAGAGGCTTAATCAAAGTATTTCTTTCTTTTTTTTTTAATAATTTATTTCTTTAAATTTCATTTTACATTCCAACCTCAGTTCTCCCTCCCGCTCCTCTTCCTGTCCTCTCCTTACCCCTCCCCCTCCCCCTCCACTCCTCATCACAGGTAAGGGCTCCCATGGGGAGTCAAATAGTCTGGCACTTTAAGTTGGGGCAGGACCAAGCCTCTGTCCCATGCATTAAGGCTGAGCCTGGCATCGCACCATAGGGAATGTGCCCCAACAAACTAGCTCTTTTAACCCAAGTCTTTCAATCCTCAGTCTAGCTCACATAGTTTGTTAATCACTTTAGGGTTAGCTATGAACCAAATACAGTTGTCTATCATGAAGTTCTTTTATAATATGAAATGACCCGTTTTGGTTTGTTTTCCTGTATGATGCAAAGAGGATAAACCAAAAATGCAGATATTATATAGCTCTTTATCCTAATTAGATAGGGTCAGATTTGTTACCTCTAAACACTTAGTAATGTTCTAATAACCAGTTAAGCAATATTTTGCAATAGACTTTTGAAGGATGTCCTATTTTTAAAATGATGATAAAATATACTCTTAAAAGTTAAATACAAATATAAATAAGAATAGATTGCTAAAGATTGGGTTAGAAACATTGAACTTTTATAGCCCTTATACATTTTTCCTCTTCTCTTTTTATTTATTCTTCTCTCATACAATACATCTTGACTGCAGCCTCCCCCTCCTCCCGTTTCCTCTCCCCCCTCCCCTCTCCCCAGACCCCCTGCTCCTCTGTCTCCCTCAGAAAAGAGCAGGCCTCCAGTGACACCAGCCGAACATGATGTAATAAAACACAGTGAGACTAGGCACAAACCCTCACATCAAGACAGCATGAGGCAACCCGGAGGAGGAGAAGTGTCCCAGGCGAAAGAGTCAGACACACCCATTGTTAGGAGTCCCACAAACACTACACAATCACAGCATGTTCACAGAGGACCTGTCACAGGCCCATGCAGACATCATGACTGCCTTCAGTCTCTGTGAGCCCCAGGAGCCCTGCCTAGATGCTTCTGTAAGCTGTGCTCTCCTGGTGTCCTCCATCCCCTTGGTTCGTACAGGCCTTCCTCCTCCCCTTCTGAGGAGTTCTCCCAGCTCTGCCTAATGTTTGGGTGTGGTAGACCCTACAGTTTTAGTTTCACTATGTTAACGTAGTTTGTATTCATCAGTAATAGCAGAGCAACATAGACAGTCAAGTATGTTTTTAGATGACAGGACTTAAGTGTAATGAAAGTAGCAAAATTAAGGTATTTATATTAATTAGTAAGTTACTATAGGAAGTAACAGAAAGTCTTGTTGATGATTTTTGCCAATTATTGTATATCTTTTGATCTTCCACCATAATGCTTAGATTCCTAGATCAGTAGCATATCTCTGTTGTTAGAACTGAACACCTTGTGGTTATAAATATGCTAGGCTTGGTTTTGGTTGCTTTGAGGATTTGTAACCAATGGGTGAGATAGAGATTGGACTATAGTGATTATATTGATAACTAATTGGAGTTAGGGTAAGAGTTCTCATGGATAAAGGCTTGAAATATAGAAATTAATAGTGTTATCAAGAAGCCTGAAAAAAATGAAAAATTCTCTCAATAGGGAAAGAGAATTTCTACTTTATCATGAAATAAAAACTCCACATTGGCCCAAAGCCTGAAGTAATATAAACTGAATTTTAAAAAGATGACCATAAATAATCCTATGGTGCGAATTTAGACCTTTAATGAATTGGGAAATGTGTTCAAAACCTCTTATTTTTCACTTCCAGATTTAGAAAAGAGCTGCGAGAACCAGCAGAAAATTTGCAGGAGTAATGGGAAACAATTTCTCACCCTACTCTAGAGGTCTAGAGTCTACCCACTTAGAGTCTCTAGGGTCATGACTGTCTTTATTTTCAATTCACTCTAATGCTTGTATCAGATGTCAAAGCCAGTGCCGTGTTATATCCAGTGAATTGATTGGCTACTAAAGTGGGAAAAGATTGTTATTTTTGGCTGTTTAAATTGCCAGATCATATAGTATTTGCCTAGAACTTATTTTAATCACTTAGTTAATAAATATTCTGTGGTAGAAATTGCCATTGCCTGTGTTTTGATTTCAGAGTAACTGTTTTCAGATTATCAACAGTTAATGCCTTTTTGTAAAGTGCAGATCAGAGTTAACTTTTATATATTTCTTTTCCCTCCAGGAACCAAACAACTTAAACATATTTTGTTAAAAGATGTGGACACTATTTTTGAATGTAAATTATGCCGTAGTCTCTTCAGAGGATTACCAAATTTAATTACCCATAAGAAATTCTACTGCCCACCAAGTCTCCAAATGGATGACAGTAAGTTTAGTTTTATTCATACATTCAGTTATACATTTTAGAGTTAAGTAGTTAAGTTTTTTTACTGCTTCTATGTATTTTGCATTAAAGTGGTATAATATCTAGTTATAGATAATTCAGTGATAGAACATAAAATGAAACACTTGACACTGTTATATTCAGTTTTTTGGATAGTACATTTTTCACTTGGATTTGTCTAATCTATGAGTTTAAATCTCTGAGTGTATCTATTTGTATTGAAATATTGAGGATTGTTTTTTAATGTTTATGTCGTTCATATAGTTAGCATTTGAAAGTTACAATATTAATGCTGGCTTTAAGGGAGAAATTTTATGGTATATTTCTTTTAATTTAACAACTTGTTGCTAAATATGATTGATCACTTAAATGAGAATGTGTCCAGTGAATGGCAAAGAATGCTAATGGTCTTTGTGAAACCAAATGTCTGAACTAAATGTACTTTTCTGTGTGAATATATAAGTAATGTGTATGTTGTCATTATTTTCCTGCTTTCAAGAATCAATGTAAATTCTTTAAAACAGATACCATAGATACATTGTGAATCTTTTGTATTTTTCAGCTTACCTTTTTTTTTTTTTTTTTTTTTTTTTTTTTTGTTTTTTGTTTTTTGAAGTTAGGGAGAGATAATACAAAACCTGAATAGCAAATTATTTCTTTAATTATTACCAAACTGCGTTAACTATATTATGGGGGTAGATAAAATAAATATTTCATACTTGTTTAGAAATTTTTACGTGAAGAATATGGTTATATTTTATGGAAACTCATTTATAAGATAACTCTTCATGGTGTTTTTTCCATCCAGGGATCCTGGGTTATGGGAACTTTGGGTTGGTTTTACCAGTCTAAAACTTTGAGACTAAAAACAATAACATTTTTAATGTTTATTTTTGTTTTGTTTTTCAAGACAGGGTTTCTCTGTGTAGCCCTGGCTGTCTTGAAACTTGCTCTGTAGACCATGCTGGCCTCAAACTCAGAGATCTACCTGCCTCTGCCTCCTGAGTGCTGTAATTAAAGGTGTGGGCCACCACTGCCTGGCTATTTTTATTGTTTAAGACAATCCACGTGCTTGCATTTGAGCTTATTGAACTTTTTATTATTCAGCTATAAATTAAAAGGTAGTATAGAGGAGTCAGTTTAAAATCTAACATTTTAATTAAAGTACTGTTTTATTTCTTGGTGTTCTTCATTATATGTAGGTTGTAGAGGTAATTTACATAGTGCAAATGATAAATGGATTTGCCAGTTTATTATGCATTCTTCTTGGCAGTTGTCTATATACTGTCATGAAAGTATTACCACACTGCTTTACTATTACAAAACAAAGAAGAGCTGAGAAGATGGCTTTTGTCATACAGGCTTGAGGATCAGAGTTTGTGTCTCCAGAACCCACACAGAGACAGGGTGGGCATGGTGACCTGCCTGTAGCTACAGCCTCAGAAAGTGGAAATGGGAATCCTTAAAAGCTAGCAGACTAGCAAGACACATTAGGGAGTTGTAGGTTTGATTAAGAGAGCCTGCCTCAGTGAATAATGTGAGTGATGGAGGGTGATTCCCAACATCAGCTGGGGTCTCCATATGCATACATATATACACATATCCACACACGAGCACCCACATGTGTAAACATAGTCACACCCAAGCACACCCATGAAAAATGAAGAAAAAAAGAAAAAAGGATTAGAAGAACTATAGTGGATTATGTTGTGATTTCTAAATAGTTATGAGGTTTAGTATTGTATTTGCAACTAGAGTTTAGAATTGTATGTGGAAACATGCTAATACCATCCAGCCTGGCTGCAGCAGACTATTTGGTTGCCTGTAGAGGGGGTTGCTATTGCACAAGGCAGTAAAACTAGCTCTATTTGTAGACTAATAGTTTTTAACTAGTTGTTTCAGTAAAATTTTGTCATGTTGAGAAAATTGTGTAAGACTGGGTTTTTATACCTCCTGTCATTTATTTTGGCTTGCAAATAGTTTATTTTTTTTTAAAATTTCTGTGAGATGTTTAACTGTCCCATCAGAATTAAGCTACATTGTTTATTAGACTTACGTTAGCTCGAATACTACTATATTATATTAAAAATCATTTATATATAGTAGCATCCTTCCTGATATTTTATCCATCCTGGGTTGTAAGAACTTGAGTTGGCTTTGGGACTGTAAAATTTTCAGACTAAAAGTAAGTAATAGTATTTTTACTGTTTAGGACTGTCCATGTGCTTATGTATTTTATAATAAGGGAACTTAGAAGAAGAAGGAGCTCTTCAGATTTTACCTTTCTCATCTAATGATAAAGTTTTAATTTAGTTAACAACTAGGTTTTTATTCATAAAATGCTAAAAAGTAGATAATGCTATAAAAAAAGAACATGTCCTACTAAAAGATAAGCTTCATTATGTATTTTAAAACACAGTTAGAACAGGTTAATTGTTTTGGGTTAAATCAATTGTTTTTTTCCTTAACAGACCTTCCTGATGTAAATGATAAGCAAAGCCAAGCCATAAATGATCTTCTAGAAGCCATATATCCAAGAGTGGACAAGAGAGAGTATATTATTAAGCTAGAACCCATAGAAACCAATCAGAATGCAGTGTTTCAATATATTTCAAGGACTGATAATACTGCTGAAGTCACAGAGTCAAGCAGTGCGCCTGAACAAACTGAAGTTCAGATCCAGGAGACAAGTACGGAGCAGCCGAAAGCAGTCCCGGACACAGACACAGACACAGACGTGGTGGGAGCCGTGGAAGCTCCTCCTGTAGAGATTGTTGTAGACGAAGCTGCACCCCCCGCCGAGGAGCAACCTCGGGAATCACAGGCTGACTTGGAAACGTCTGATAGTTCTGACCTTGGTCACCAGTTGATATGTTGTCTTTGTAGAAAAGAATTCAATTCTAGACGAGGTGTTCGTCGTCACATTCGGAAAGTACACAAGAAAAAGATGGAAGAACTAAAGAAGTACATTGAAACACAAAAGACTCCAAACCAGACTTCGAAAGGACGCAGTAAGGGTGTTCTAGTTTCATTAAGTAGGAGTTGTCCAGTTTGTTGTAAATCATTTGCTACAAAAGCGAATGTAAGGAGGCATTTTGATGAAGTTCATAGAGGACTGAGGAGGGATTCAATTACTCCTGATAAAGCAACAAAGCCTGGGCAACCTTTGTTCCTGGATCCCGCTTCTCCTAAAAAATCTTTTAAGACTCGAAAACAAAAGTCTCCAAAGGCTGAATACAATTTAACTGCATGCAAATGCCTCCTTTGCAAGAGGAAATATAGTTCACAAATAATGCTTAAGAGACATATGCAAATTGTCCACAAGATAACTCTTTCCGCTGCAAACTCCAAACGAGAGAAAGGCCCAAACAATACTGCCAACAGTTCAGAAATAAAAGTTAAAGTTGAACCCACAGATTCTGTAGAATCTTCACCCCCTTCTCTTACCCATTCTCCACAGAGTGAATTAAAGGGAACAAATCATTCAAACGAGAAAAAGAGCACACCGGCAACACAGAAAAATAAAGTTAAACAAGACTCTGAGAGCCCTAAATCAGCTAGTCCTTCTGCTGCAGGTGGCCAACAGAAAGCCAGGAAACCAAAACTTTCAGCTGGCTTTGACTTTAAGCAACTTTACTGTAAACTCTGTAAACGCCAGTTTACTTCCAAGCAGAACTTGACTAAACACATTGAGTTGCACACAGATGGAAATAACATTTATGTTAAATTCTACAAGTGTCCTCTCTGTACTTATGAAACTCGTCGGAAACGTGATGTGATAAGACATATAACTGTGGTTCATAAAAAGTCATCTCGCTACCTTGGGAAAATCACAGCCAGTTTAGAGATCAGAGCTATAAAAAAGCCCATTGATTTTGTTCTAAACAAAGTGGCAAAAAGAGGCCCTTCAAGGGATGAAGCGAAACATAACGACTCAAACCCTGATGGCACTTCCAATTCTCCTAATAAAAAGTATGAAGTAGCTGATGTCGGCATTGAAGTGAAAGTCACAAAAAACTTCTCTCTTCACAGATGCAATAAGTGTGGAAAGGCATTTGCCAAAAAGACTTACCTAGAACATCATAAGAAAACACATAAGGCAAATGCTACCAATTCACCTGAAGGAAACAAAACCAAAGGCCGAAGTACAAGATCTAAGGCTCTTGTCTGGTGAGGAACAGTTAGAGTTTTGTCCCCCCCTCCCCCTCATCGAACCCAAAAACCCAAATCATTTGGCCATAATTTGTAGCTGGTTCCATTTTAACATGCATTTTCTTTTTTAAATCATATAGCAGTAGGAAATGCAAGAGGGATGGTTATTGCTTCTATCTCTCGGTGACCTTTATTCCAGTAGCTTGGGAACAAAAGTTAATTTGAGAACTTGCCCTCCACAGGACAATGCAATGTAGTTGTAGGTAGATGACACAGGCTCAGTTCTTTTGTTTTAATGTTGTAAAATACATTCATTTATTTTGGTCTATGTTTACATAGGAATCTCATGTTTAACTAACTTGCACAGGTTTAATTTGACTCAGTCTACTAATTTTATTTAGTCTACTAATCCTAATGCATTGTAGGAAAGTTAAATATATTAGAATGAATTTATGAAGGAGATAATCCTTGGATAAAACATTTTAAGGCACTGTAATTATTGTAAAAATGTGTAGGTTAAACAAGTTAGTACATAGAAAAAGAAAATCTCCAGATGGAATTTAGAAGAAATTAACATTTCTTATTTACTTTTAGTACACTGCTTCCAGAGGAAGGAGGAAAGTTAGTAAACAAAAGTTTGAATTTTTTCCTTCCCTTTGGAAGTATGTGTTAGTGAGTTTTTAAGTTTGATCTATAGGAGAAAGATTTTTTAAGGTACATATACTTGTTTCCCTTTCTGTTTAATAAACTTATAAGTGATCATTTCAACGTAGTTAGTATTATTCAGTAGTGATCTCTGTGTGTGTGACAGAGAGAGAAAGAGAGAGGAAGAGAGAGAGACAGAGAAAGAGACAGAGGGGGAGAGAGAGAGAGAGAGGGAGAGAGAGAGAGAGAGAGGTTGTGACTAAAAGGAAAGAAAAACTCCTTTTTGGAAGGAAGAACAGTTCTACTTTTTAAAGTTTTGGAACAGATTATTTTTAAAATGCAGTGTAAAATAAGGAGTGGATTCCCAATACTTGTTTTCATAAGTCTATATATTTTTAAAGTTTGCTTGTAGCACCTTTGCTCCTTGCAATTAGACATTTAATGTACTTAGTGCTAAATAAGCTTGAGATACAGGCTCTAAAGCAAAGGTCTTCGTTTGAGTGGTTAGCAGGTTAATGTGGTTTGATTGTCACATTGTTTTAACTTGTGTGGAAGACTTGAGGGGAAATCATCCTTTAGAAGTCATTTACTGTTGTGTAATTTTAAGGTCAAGGTTTTATTGGTAAACTCAAAAGTGTTCATTTATTCCCATTTCTCCTCAGATAACTTCAAGTGATGTACGAAAAGGTTTGGAGTTCATTTTTGTGGAAAGACTTTAAGTTGTTAGAACCACTAAACGTCTTCACATGGTACTATGAGGAAAAAAAAAAAAAAGAACATTTTCATAAATTTTCAACTGTAACTGCTGATTTCTGACTAAAACAATAACCATCTAACCAGTTTCTAAGGCAATGCCCATCCTAGCACTTTTGAGTAGCTGTGATATTATATAGTGTCTTCATAGACCTTGTACATATGGTCTACAGTTTCTACAAAAATGTTGGGAATTTTGCTTTCCAATTAATTTGTTGATTAAAATGATCAACAACCTTAAGAAAATAATAGTTTTTAATTGATAGAAACTTTGTATTCTTAGTGGTTTAAGTTTATTTCACTTTACATGCAAAATTTTATCTAGATTATATAGGTAAATATGATTTTTGTAGAAAGTATGTTAGGATCAAAAGATAAATTACTATCAATATATTATGAATATTTAGTAGCCTACTGAATATTTATAATTATTTTGCATCCACTTATATTTGAGTTTTCTTTAGCACTTAAATGTTTGAAAGTTTTATTCTAAAATATATACTACAAAGAAAGTTCCAGTTCATTTTGTGCATAGATCATTATTACATTTATCATTTGTAAACATTAGGAGTTTTTATGAAGATTAAACATTCCCCTATTTTTCTTTAAATTTTATATGAAGCACTTTAATGATAGATGCGATCTTATTTCTCAGTTCCTATTTTTTTAAAGAACACACATTTACTAATGTTTATATGAAGGTAATAAATAGTTTACTAATAATATCTTATAGATGCAGACAATCCATATGCAACCACTTATGTTTCTAGTTTATTTCTTTAAATGTTGCTGAAAAAGGAAGATAGGGATGTCCATCCTAAATTTTTTCTCCCAAGGAAAAATTTTAAATGACCACTTTAGATAATATTTGATTCCTACTGTAAAATTAAAAATAATGAATTCTTGTCCATCTTTTGTAATCACGATTTTAGGAAAAAAAGAAATACATCTATCTTTATGAAATTTTGGGCAGGTTTTTGTGTATCAATATTTTGTACTTTTAGGAAATAATTTTATTTTTTAGTAATTTGTGTCAAATTATTTTAAAAGGTACTGCAGAAAATATACCATGTTTTTATGTAGGTTCACAGCTGTACTTAGAATGGACCCTGTCCATCTGTATACTTTTTGTATAAATTTTTAAATGTCAAGATCTAGAAGGTCATAATAAAATGCTTCTATAGTTAGAAATACATTTACCCTTCTCAGTGCTTTGCACTAAAATATACTGTGAAAGGAAATTAGAAAGACTGTAATTGTTGCTGGAAATGTTCTATATTGAATGTACATGTTTTTGTTGGGAAAATGTACTATATATGATGAAAATAAACCGGACTAAAATTTATTTCAGCTAAATGTGCTTCAACACAGGTACATTGGTTGAAACTTAATGTTTTATTATTACATTTACTCAGTGACTATGAGCAGCTACACTTGAATTATATCCTGATAGTTTTATTTTTAAGAAGTAATGATTTTTCTTTAATTTAAAAACATAACTTTTCCACAGATGGAAAATTTGTACTTAGAGGTCTAACTTTAATGACTCATAGCATAATATATTTAGGGACCAAATGTGTAGTGGGTGGCATTTAATTTATAAGCATCTTCATTAGTTGCACATTATTAAACCTGTATTTTTGACATTTGCAAGGTGTTATTTTTTTTGTGTGCATTTCTACACACAATACATTCTCTGTTGACCTTTTCCAGTCTGCTTTACTTGTTAATTATTGCAGGAAAGAAAGAAAAATAGCTTGATCTTGGAGGAGGGCAGATAGTGGGAGCAGCTCGGTGAGGGCATTGTGTCGTAGACAACAGGCTACACTGGGACCAGTTTAGAATAAATAAGGGGATTTGAAAGTATATGTTTTTCCTCTTCCTTTCTGACCTGTGCATCTACCTTTTGGATTTACTGTGCCTGGAGCTTTTCTGCACACAATCTGTATGAACAAATGTTCATATGACTTTTTGTTAGTGTATTGTGAAGGGAGTTAGTAGCCATCTAAACTGGTCGTTTATATTTAGACCTGTCCCTGGTTTTAAAATTATATCCACTTATGCTGCTATTTGATAAAGAGTTTTTTGTTTTGTTTTGTTTTGTTTTTTTTTTTTCTAAGCCAGATGTGATGGTCCATGTCTGTAACCCAGCAATTAGGAAGCAGAGGCAGGGGAATTTTAAATGACTTCTTTAGATAAAATTGTAAAATTGAAAGTAATGAATTTTGTCCATCTGTTGTGATCAAGATTTTAGGAAAAAAAGAAATATGTCTCTTTTTATGAAATTTTAAAAGAATTTTTCCCAAGAGTTTATCTTCCTTCCTAAAGCCACCTCTTCCTGAGAGTGGGCAAGAACAGAAACAGTAACAGATACAGTTTATACTTGCACTTGTTTGGGTTGGTGCACTTGTAGTGCAGGTGAGAACTGGATGAGGTCTGGCTGACAATAGGCAAGGGTTCAATCCACACCTGACATTAAATACACAGGTGGGTTTGTTTCATCTTTAAAAAGAAACCCCTGGAAAGACAAATTATTAATTTTAACAGTTTTGTTTGTGTGAACTGAGATTTGCACAGGCGGCTTTCTTTGCTGGTGAAAAGTGCCTCCACATTTTTAAAAGAAATTATTTATTATATTGATTTGTAGGCACTAAACCCTACTACTGTGCTTTGAAACTATGGATGCAGCAGTGGAGAGCTGTGTGGTTTGCTGTGATTGCATGTTGTGAGAACAAGGAGTTATCCTATAGGCCTATGGCAGATGCATATGGAAATAGGCACAGTATCATTCCCTGTGTGACATGGCAAAAGGTCTTCAAATAGCATGACTACTGAAAACGGTATAGAAATGCCCCTAGGATTTGGAAATTTGGTTCCTAAGTTTCCTGCAGTGGCCCACAGGAATATTTTAGATCCTTATTTTGTAGTTGTAGAAATTACTTCTCTAATGGAATCTGTAGGCTATGAGGATTATGATTTAGCCATGGTTCTGAGAGTTGATCCAAAGCCAAGCTGTAGGATACATAGTATAATGTTGGCTTTGCTCTTAGACAAAGGCCCTCTGTGCTCTGTGCTTTTCTTTATACTCTGGTTTTATGAGCTAAATATCTAAGGATAGGCAGTCTTAGAAGCAGCCAAATGATTGATTTCCGAGGCACTAGGCACATGGTAAAATGCACAGTAAAAATGTTTCCTTCAACTTACTGACCAGTATTTTCCCCTCCTAATTCACCCTTCCTTTCTCTGATTTGCTTCTTTATCTCTTTCTTCTGAGCTTCTAGCTCCTACCTTGCCTTTTCCCTTCTGTTTGATTAAAAGAGATCATTAGTCTCAGACAGCTAAACCATGTGGGGAGGTAAGAATAAGAGCATGCAGTTCATTTTCTTCTGAATCTTCAGTGTTTCACACTGAATCGGGAGCAAGAGTATTTTCAGGGTTCTTCTCCTATTTTTTGATACCACACCTTCAGAAGCAAAGGGAAACTTAAAAACATAGATGCATCTAGTAGGGCAAAAGCCCAAATATAGAGGTTTTCGTATTTGTGTCTATTCTGCAGTTAATTGATTTGATTGTATGTTTTTGGAACCACGGAACTGATGGCGTGTAAGTTCCTACAATACCTAACACATTTCTTGGGTTTTGCCTTGTGGCTTGTGCTGGCCTCACATTCACAATCCTTCACCCTTAGCCTCCCCTGCTGGGAGTGGTGTGTGTTACCATGTCTGGTTCTAGCTCTCTTTTTATTATCTCAATATTGGTGGTTTGCTTTAGAAAATACTACCTTTAAGAAGAGTAATATTGAAAATGAAGATAAGTCTTAGTGATAGCTAATAATATTTTTGGAGTACTTGTATACCATGTACTCTGCTAACACTTTCTATGTGTAATGTCCCTAAACCCTGCTGATAGACCTATTAAGACCAGTTTCTTCATTATTCCCATTTTACAGAAAGAAAACTGAAGCTTGGAAGAGTTCAGTAACATGTTTATGCCACATAGCTACTAGGAAACAAAGTGTACACCCTTAGTCGACACAATCTTAACATTTGCACATTTTATCAAATGCAGAGTGATTCAGTACATTGTTGTCTTTTGGCAATTTACAGCAATGAGCTGGAGCTAGACTAGTTGGTAAAATGTTGGATCCACAAATTCTTTCCCTTGTGACCTTTGCAGATCTACTCCAATCTTCTCTGCCTTGGTTATTTCACCTATAAAATAGGACTGGGGTATTAATGGGTTTCTCAGAGGAGAAGATGAAAACTACATGCAAAATTCCGAGAACAGTGCCTGGCATGTTACCAAAAATGTTAGATATTGTTTCTAGAAAAGACTTGGATGGCACAATCAGTTGGGAGCTTTATCATTACTACTAAGTGAAGTTTAGATGGAAACTTGTGCGTTGGAAGAGAACTTGATTACACACCAGCTCTGTTGCTTTTGTACTTAATAGTCAGATGTTAGTAGCTTATCTTTCTCACAGTTTGCTTTTTTCCTTTTCATTTCTCTTGAAAAGATACTAGGGAGTTTCAAAAAAGTATGTTCATTGAAAATTTAGCTTTGTTTTTATGGCCTTTCCCTGTAAGCATCCATCTGTCTCAAAAAACTCATTGGCATCTGTTCTGTGACACAAATATTTTTGGTAATGTGCAAAATACTGACTTGGAGCAAATATTAATTAAATAACATTGCTGGGTTTTTAAAAATGAAATAAGCCTTATATGCAGTGTTGTTTGAAAGAAGTCATTCACTTATGGAAAGAATAGATTTTTCAGGGACACACTATGTATCTGAGTTGTGAATGTCTGGTGAGTGTGTTATGAAGAGATAAACAAGCCCACCGAGTGGCAGTCATTAATGGCAACACTCCAGTTTTCAGTTAAGCTCCTGCTGTTAAAATTACCTGCTGAAAGAGTTTGCTCACAAACCTGGCCATTCTTGGTCTTGTTTTTGACTTGGAGTTTTAGTTGTTGCAGTCAGCATCTCTGTGGACCTGTGTAGATCTTTGATCTTAAACTAAAGAAATGTGACTGCTTTTGTTATTTCTATAGTGGTGTTGAGAGTTGATTGAGTTCAGGGCCTTACTAATGTTACACAGGCGCTCTGCCACTGGACTGCCTGCCTCTTTAGCCCTTTCTTTTTAGAGATAGGGTCTCACTATGTACCTTGGGATGGCCTGAAACTTGCTGTGTAGTTCAGGATGGACTCGGGTTCAGGATTATCCCCCACAGACCCCTGAGTGCTGAGATTACAGGCTCTTGCCCTTCATGATGATTCTGGTACTCAAATGCTGGTACAGCCAAATTCTGCTACACAAAACTTGTGTCTAGAATCTGAGGCATATTTATGGCAAATGAAATAATGTTTAAATGATGGATTGATACGGTTAAATTAGCTACCTCTCAAAAGATAAAAACTCTGTTCTGGGTGCTTGAGCAATAATAACCAGCCTTCTGCCTTCAGTGCTCCATATAATCTGGCAACACCTTCAGAGCAGCTAATAATGTATTCAGATGAGATATTACGATGTAAGAATGAGCTTTAAGTGCATTTAGTTTTCATTATAATTTGGGTTTTGACTGTGGAACTTTGGTATCTCTATCTGGGAATGTACTGAAAACAAATTAGCTCTGAGAAATAAACTGTATTGTTTAGTCAGACATTCTCAGCTCTGCAAATGTTTTTAAGAAATAGTTGAGATTCTTGTTCAGTAGTAAGGTGTTAGCAGCCCTGAACTCCAAGTTTGTGCTAGTTGTGACTGCTAGCTTTGATTTTGAATGGTAACATGAAAGGAAGGAATAGCTGTAAGAGAAAAAGAACAGGCATTGGCACAATGTGGACAGGTGATTGGGTTACAGGGTGAGTGGTGGTGGTTAGGGGAAGGAACCTCCTCTACTTTTCAAAATAGAGGTAGTTGTGGAAATAGTTTCTGTATGAGAGTTGTTTTCATAGCTTTTCTTATTAGATATATTGAGTTCCATGGTGTGCTGCCCACTGGGCATCTGTGGGCATCAAGTTGAGAGTATCTGAGCATTATCTTTTGTATGGACAGGGTTCAGGGTGTGAAATAGGTCAGTGGATCTCACTTTTCCACAAGATATCTTCATATTTTCCATTTCTCATTTCTGTGCTTGACTGCCTTGACTAATCAACATTTACTCAATCCGAGTCTAAGAAAACCAGTTCACTCACAAAATCTTAACACATACATATTTACGTGTTAAGATTTAAAAGCAAGGAGCTTTTAAAGGAGATAGTTTTGTTTCTTGTAATTGTTCCGGAGCTCTCTCTTGTTAATTTTGAAGTATAGAATTTATAAAGAAGAATTTTTAATTTTTTTGTTTGTGCACCTGTGTGTGTGTGTGTGTGTGTGTGTGTGTGTCTGTCTGTCTGTCTGTCTGTCTGTCTCTGTGTATGTACATATGCAGGCAAGAGGTTGACATCAGGTGTCTTCCATCATTTCTTCCCACTTTTATGTTTTGAGACAGTCTCTCACTGAATCGCTCTTATTGCTTGGTTGGACTGAACCAAGCTTAGGGAAGTCCCACCTGTTTTCCCAAGTGTCCCCCCTCCTCTGCACTCGAGTTGCCATGCTTAACTTTTTATGGTGCTGGGGATCTGAATTCAGGTCCTATGCTTGCACAGTAGG